TTTACTTCTCCTCAAGGTATTTAAGAAAAAGACCAATGAAGATTCTCAAAAGATTCAGTCAACTGTGCAAAAAACAGATAGAAGAAATAGAGAATAGAGGAACAGTCAGAAAGTCCATATTCTACATTGAGAGAAGATAAGTCTAAGAACAGTTAGGTAAAACTAGGACCTACATTTAGGAGGAAATAGTTTGAAATATGAAGTTCACTGCTTAATCTGCCACCTGATGCAGCATAGACTTCATGTTGAGCCTTCGCAGAGAAACAAATTTTACATTAAGTGCAGTTTTTCAGAAAGATGGCAGACTGACAGTGTCTAAGGTGAAACCCTCTACCCAGTCAATGGCAAGAACACTTCAGCCTAAACAGGAGCTCAGAAAAACTCTGTACACTTCCAATAAGCATAATTAAACCTTATTTTTTGTGTTAAAATATGAAAGTCTCAGTAAGCTTCCACTGCTTTTCAAGCCCTTAGTCTGAAGATGTGATTTTTGGATGGGAAAATAAAAAAGTTGTAATCAATTACTGTGTTTTGGTGTTACCTCAAGTCTTCAAAAGGGATCCTACAGACCTAATTAAGCTTTTGGAAAAGACATGTATCTGTTAGGGAGATTACTGAGGTTCCTGAAAGTCACATGTTAACCATGTTTAGCAACTTTGTGATAAAATAGGTACTTCAGTTTATTAAACATGAGATATATTAAGCATTTCATTACTAATGACATTCTGTATGTACATGGTTTGCTCTTTATCCTTCTATTTGAAATATTATCGTGATTATTTTTGTACATATTCATCACTGAGTTATGGCCAAAGAGATGGGATTCCTCTAATTTAAACTTTAAAAGCCTACGGTGCAGCAATTTATATGACAAACTGGGTCCAGATTCCCTTTTGTAGTCAACGGAAAGACTTAGGGTGTGATATGGTCTTCCTTAGGGACAGATGATTCCTCCTTGTGCATAAGTGCCTGTTACTCTTCATTGACAGTAAAGGGAATGTAGGTGTGGAATTAATTTAATTAAAAATAGATGTCATCATTGCAGATATCTCATAGCTTTAAGCTAGTCAATATATACATCAATAGGCGCATTCTGTACATACCCATGGGTTATACGACAGGAGTCGCCTCTTCTTAAAGAGGCATCTATAGCAGGCAAGAGCTATGCCATAAAAGTGCATTTTTCTCTGCATCAGCTTTAGAGACATTGTGTTAATGTCTCTATTTATGTTCATACCTTGGTGGCATTAATGTTGTTTTACATGACTACCACAGAACTTGATGTCTTCACTGCAAAAGTTTATATTTGATCAAATTAATTTCACTTAAGACCCAGCATTTAAACTGAACAATTCTCTTCCTTTGAAGAGGCAGGCCTAAATAGCAAAAAACTATATAGCCTTCCTTCAAAGATTATGATTTTGAAGATCTTTTTCTTCTTTTGACAGTCTGTGATATTTTGTCTCCAAAAACGTTGGGTGGTGAGAACCTCTAAGAGCAAGGCAGAAAACTCTTTGCCAGAGTAAAATTTATTCTATATTTTATCCTTATCATAATAGCACACAGTGTCATCTGTCAAATCTTATGTAAGTTACAATGGCTTTTCTGAGATACATGACTTTGCAATTAGTCCAACAGAAGCAGCTACAGTCCCAGCAGAAATGGCACAAGACACATTTTCAGTGCAGTGGAGATACCTGGAACCGATGGGAGAGTAAGTTCGAAGCTACAGTTTTCACCTCTCTCTCTGAGACAGAAAAAAGATTGACAACCACAAAATTCCTTACACAATTGCTTCTGGAGCTTCAGGTCCCCTGATGTAGAGGACCCATGTTTTCTGATGGCCTTCTTGATTCTTTCTAAATGCCATCATCACGTATCCAGCTCAGCAGTTCAGCAGTTCTTATAGTTGTATCTGCAGGTTCTGAGTGTAGCGATAGATCTTTGTTACATCCCATTCACAGAAGCTGGAAGAACCTTTTTAGGCCATTTAGACCCATTGGTCCTTGTTCTCTATTGCACAGTTGCTCAATTATTTTTATTTTTTTTTTTCATCTGATATACAGTTATTGTGTTTATTTAGATCACAGCATTAATTTGTCTTCTAGAAACCTGTTTTGGAATGAGAAAAAGGAACACACTGGAACATTCAGTAGAAATCACTGGAAATTCTACTCACCAATACAACATGATGTGCATTTTCATTTTCAGTTCGTGCCCAGTTTTGTCCTATGTACTATCCATAAGCACTTCAGCAGTCTCCTTAGTAAGCATAGGTATGCAAGGGAACATGGTTCCCTCAGAGGCTGGTAAACAGACAACCTTTCTACTGTCTATTCCTTTTACTATAAAGATGTCTTTCATAATTCATTAGAGGAGTGAGGAAAACCAGAGGACACCATTACCTGTGTTTTTTTGTAATAACACTTTACGGAAAGGTCATATTCATAGCCATGTTATTGGAGCAGATCTTATGTTTAAACTGTTTTTAAAGAAAATAACAATTGAAAAACAGAATGTCAGCCCCAACAAAAATTGAAATACAACTTTTTCTTTTTTTTTTTTTTTAAAAGTAACATTCTTCTACCTGTTGGAATGTAAATAAGGCTTTTGCTAAAACTTTTGGAGAACATAAATCTTCTAAACAGCCAGTTTAAGCCCAAGTGAGTTTTGTCCTCAAAACTGTTGGATCTCTTCCCCAAGTTTCTTGTTTTTTTTTTTGGGAAGAAAAGAGGATGAATATCTTTGGCTGTTACACTCCTGAGAATTTCACTGTATTCTTTAGCATCTTCATTTCACCATTGCACATAAACTTACATTGCTCACAGGTATTGTTTTAAGTCTTCTTTCTTCCTAATGCCTTGAAAAAATGCAGTTCATCATCATCCGCACAGTCATTAGTATCTCTCAAGTTTTTCATATCATTAAAATCTTCTTTTCCTCTTTATAGATCTTAATTATCTATAAACTTCAGAATGTGTTACTTCTTACATTTCATGTACTTTCTTCCTGACTATTATGACAATATTGAAGACAGTATCTCAAATAAGTTGATGATGACAATATATTTCAAGATCATACAAAGTAATCATATGATTAATCAGATATAATTAATGCCAGAAAACTGACAATAGGAAAAGTTTCCCTCTACATCTTTCCCAAAATTAATCTCTTATGACTGCAGTGAGATACAATGTACTAATAGACAATTCTATTTTGCCTTTTAAATCAAAATAGCATTTGTCCTTTTGTTGTTGTTGTCATTAATTCTGAATATAAAAGGTAACAGATTTTGAGAGGTGATACTTCTTTGTCCAGTTTACTACCTTCATTTGACTTTTTAATTTATTTATTTATTCCATGGCTAGTTTAAGACACTTATGTTCTTTACATCCATTTTTTTTTTTTAATGGAGAAAGTATTATTCTACAATCTTTTCCACAATGTTTCTGTTCCTTTTCTTTAATCTGATTACATGTCCATAGAGAAAATAGGACTAGAAGGGACCTTGAAAGGTCTTTTAGTCCATTGCACTGGGTCACTCCTGTACAGCTTACTTTTTCTAGAGACCACAAAAGTTGGAGACTCTGTATGCTCTTCATCCAGCTGTTCCAAGGTTGTTCCTCTCTTGCTAAAAAACTTTTGGTCAATGTCTAACTTGATAGTTCACAAGAACTGTGTCCTCTGGTTTGTGTGGTCTTTCACCAAGACTTGAGATTTGGTGTGCATCGGACTAATGAATCGTGTGTATTTAGTACAATCTCAAGGCAAAGGTTGTGATGTGTTTATCACCGTTAGTGCACAAAATATGACTGAGGGACACCAGCAATGAACTAATGTCCCATTTCCAGTTTAATATTGGATATAGCAGCATATGTTCGCAGAGTTCTTGGAGATGTATTAAGTCATCACTTTCAGTAAGACAAACACATCATTTTTGGGATATTGTTGAGCGTGTATTAGCAAATTCAAATGTGTCTGCAATATATCATATAGATATAAGCAGAGCGAACCTTTGAATTTGAAAAAGTATGCAGCCTTTCCAAAAATCTTTTTAACTTCTTTTGTCTTCCATCTACCTCCTTAACTTACTTGAAGGAAATCAATCATTTTTTTTTTCCCCTTTTGTCCTGGAGGTTACTTTAGGCCACTTTGTTTATAATAAAGCACTTGCCTTATTTTCAGATCAATGTTTGCTTTCTCTTGGGTCTTTTTTGCTGCTCAGTCAGCAAATGACACTGACCAAAACTGATGCATAAGTCTTGGCTGGACCCTTGCTTTTGGGGAATTTCATCCATACTCAGCTAAGTGCTTGCAGGTACACACAATCAATTCCAGCCCTTTTGTTTATACCTACTGAGTTTGATTCCTCTCTAAAACCTCTTTATTCTCATGCAATGGAAATTAGTTACCATTTAGGATTTAGGATTCTCCATTTAGGATTCCAACACTATAAATGAGAGCAAAATCAAGACCTTGAAGAATAGTCATGAGTATATGAGTATAAGAACATACAAGATTTTTTTAGCTTTATTTGTATCGCTTTTTTGGAATTTTTTGCTATGCACAAATAAATTCACACACACTCACAAAAAAAGTGATTTCAAACACTCCACTGGGATTAAGCAATCATGTGAAAGGTTTATTATTATGTTATGGTAGCAGTCTGAATCCCTTAGCAAGATTACCCTCCTCATGTTTGCCACGGTAGAAAAAATCCCAGTTTATAATAATGCAAATTAAAATAACAGTGCAGAGTATTAAGCATTACTAATGTGCTATTATTGTAGCAGTGTGAAGAAGTGGGAGCAAACTACAGTGTGTGTGAAGTCACTGTTTGGGAACAAATGGGAATGTTGTATATTTGTTTGTATAATTATACAGTGTATGTATTTCCCAAAAGGGAGGCAACAAAATATTTTCTGTGTTTTCTTTTTTAATTAAAGTACAAGTTGTTTATTACAAGGCTGCATTAAAGTTCTTTCACTCTATTATAACAGGAGACTGGCTCGCTCTACACTACTGCTTATCCCCTTGTTTGGAATTCACTACACGGTGTTTGCTTTTTCTCCTGAAAATGTCAGTAAGCGGGAGAGACTAGTGTTTGAATTGGGACTGGGATCTTTCCAGGTGATTATACAGTGAATTCTGCTTTTGTTAAACAGAAATCTTTATTCATTATAACTACTTTGCATGCACAGTTCTCAGACTGTGTGTTTATTTATGTATGTGTTTTGTATACTTGGATTTTGGTTTTGTTTGTTTGTTTGTTTTAACTCCAGCTATTTTCTAGCATTTACTGAAGAATTTGAATTACATTATTTTTTTCTCTCCCATTTACCTAGGGTTTTGTTGTTGCTGTTCTCTATTGTTTCTTGAATGGGGAGGTAAGACTTTTAATATTTAACCTCCCCCACCCACCATCCCCATCCCATTTCTTTGTGGGAGTAACTGCTATTCTAATCCTTCCCTGTAACTCATCATATACCATATTCCCTAATACCTTAGGCTGAATCTCACATTGTCTCAGCAAAAGAAAGAGGATGTATGGTGTCTTTATTAAACCAAAACATTGGCCTTGCCAGAGATGATGGCTCAGATTAATGCTCCTTAGCAGACGTAGGGACTGTACTGGGCTTGTTGTTTATGTCATCCCAGGTGCAGAACTTTGCACTTGTCTTTGTGAAACTTCATAGAGTTCTTGCTAACCCACTCTTCCAGCCTGTTCAGTTCTCCTTGTAGGGCGGCTCTCCCTTCTGATATGTCCACCTCACCACCCAGATTGGCATCATCAGCCAACTTGATGAGAGTGCTTTCAATTCCATCATCCAGATCATTTATGAAGATGTCAAACAGTGTGGAGTCCAATATCAGTCCCTGGAGGACCTCACTAGTGACAGGCTGCCAGCCCGAGTAAGAAATGTTGTTCACCACGCTCTGAGTGTGACCTGTTAGCCAATTTCCCTGGAGGACCTCACTAGTGACAGGCTGCCAGAAATGTTGTTCACCACCCTCTGAGTGTGACCTGTTAGCCAATTTTCTACCCGTCTTGCAGACCACCCACCCAATCTATATCATGACAGTTTGCCTAGGAAAAGGCTGTGGGAAAAAGTGTCAAATGCTTTGCTAAAGTCCAGGTAAACAACAATCACTGCTCTCCCCATGTCAACAGAAAACATTATTTGGTTATAGAAGATGACCAGGTTAACCTGGCATGATTTACCTTTGGTAAATCCTTGCTGGCTTTCCCCAGTCCCCTGCTTCATTTGGTTTGTGATAGTTTCTAGGTCTTGTTCCATTATTTTCCCAGAGACTGAAGTAAAACCAATGTGCCTTTAGTTTCCTGGGTTCTGAACACAGTAGAATAGAATAGAATAGAATAGAATAGAATAGAATAGAATAGAATAGAATAGAATAGAATAGAATAGAATAGAATAGAATGGAATGGAATGGAATGGAATGGAATGGGCATAGCATAGCAGCCATGCCTCTTGTAGAGGGGCCCTTCTTGTAGATGGATATGACATTTGCTCTCTTCCAGTCATCAGGGATATCTTCTGATCTCCATGACTTTTCAAATATTATGGACAGTGGCCTTGAAAAAATGTCAGCCACTTTTCTTTACACCTTGGGGTGGATTCCATCCAGTCCCATAGATTTATGTGGGTTGAGCCCCTGCAAGAGGCCATAGACCAGACTTTATTCCATTACTGGTAAGTTGGCACGTGTGTTGTCATAGCTACTTGATCCTTTGGCCTGGGATCCAGCTGCACCAGTAAAGACACAGGCAAAGAAGGTACTGAGAACCTCTGCCTTGTCAGCATTATTAGTGACTGATTTTCCTGTGCTCTTTAGCAATTGGCCTATGTCTTCCCTGTGCATCTGCTTACTGCTCACATATCTGAAGAACCCTTTCTTGCTGTTCTTGACTATTTTGGCTATTTTCAGTTCTAGCTTAGCCTTAGCCTTCCTGACTGCATCTCTGCACACCCTAGCAAGGTTCTTGTAGTCCTTGATGGGTATTTGGCTGCCTTTCCATAACTGGTATGGTTCTTTTTTTGGTTTCAAGCAAAAGCTTATTGTTAAGACAGCTGGTGTCTTCTTCTACCTGCTTCCTTTCCCTTTGTAGAGGATTGAGTATTCTTGTGCTTCAAAGGGGCTGTTGAGCCTTCTTCTCAGCACTCACAAGCTTCCTTGCCCTCCACAGATGCTTCCCATGGAATCCCTTGCAGCTGGGCTCTGAGCATATTGAAACTGGCTCTTCTAAAATCCAGGTCTTTGTCCTACTACTGCTCTTCAGTGTATTCAGCAGTACCTTAAACTGTACAATGTTATGATCATTGTGTCCAAGGGTAGCATTGGTAGTTAGTTATGTTGTCAAGGACCTCTTGGTTTGTGAGCAGTAAATCTAGCAATGCACTATTCCTAGTCAGCATGTCCAGTGTCTGTATCACAGAATCACACAGAACGGTAGGGGTTTGAGGGGACCTCTGGAGATCATCTAGTCCAACCCCAAATCTGTAGCAGGAAGCAATCCTCAATACACTCCAGCAACTTGATGGAGGACTTGTGTACCACTGTGTTGTTTTCCCAACAAATGTCTGGGTAATTTAAGTCACGCATGGGAACCAGGTTCTGTTAACCCGAAACTTCCTTAAGCACCTGAAGTAAGATTTTGTCGGCCTCATCATCCTGATTGGGAGGTTGGTAACAGATACCTAACAAAAGATCCCCCTTGGTGACAATTTCTCTAATCTTGATCCAAAGCCATTCAATAGAACTTTCATGATCTCCATAACTCACCTCCATACACTCAAATTTCTGTTTTACACAAAGTGCAACTCCACCTCCTCTTCTTCCCCTTCTGTCTTCCCTAAAATATTTGTAGCCACTCATTGTAGTCTTTCAGTCATGTGAGTTTCCCCACCAAGTTGCTGTGTTTTCTATAATATCATAACTCTCTGACTGTGCACAGAGCTCTATTTTCTCCTGTTTGCTACCCAGATTACACACATTGGTACACACAAACTTGAGGCGACTGGACTTAGGGTTCTTGCCTTTGGAGAGGGTTGGGGAAGCATTCCTCACTACTCTGGTAGGTGAATTCATCCAACCTGCTGCTTATGAATATGCAGATGTCACAGCTTTGGACACTACCCTCCCAAGTTCATTAGTTTAAAGCACAGTCAATCTGCTATTTAAGATTCTCCTGCCTTTTTTAGGTAGGTGTATCCCATCTCTCCCCAGTAGTCTGTATTCATTGAAGAATGTCCAATGATTGTAGAAAACAAAACCTTGGCAATGACATCAGCCATGAAGCCAGGTATGTCTCTGCATAATGCATCAATTTTTGCCTGCACCCCTACCTCTGACACGGAAAGAGAGAGGAGATCACTTGGGCATCTGTGCCTTTCACTTGCACCTCCAGGGTTCTGAAGTCCTGCTTGATCTTGCAGAGGCTTTGCTTTACTGTGTCAGTGGTTCTCACATGGGAAAGAATTAGCGGATGGTATGCTTTTAAGTAGTTTTGGCAGTTTCTCTGTGACGTCCTGGATCTTGGTTCCTCGCAAGCAGCAAACTTCACTTGACTGTGTATCAGGCCAACAGACAGGTGCCTCAGTTTCTTTCAGCAGAGAGTCACCCACTACTAGCACTCACCGTTTCTTTTTGCAGCTCTTAGCACATGCTGCTGGTACAGTTTCTCTCTGTGAATATTGCTCATTGGTTTGTCCACTGAAAAGACTTTATATTTGTTTCTGGGTGGTACACTAGAAGAAGGGGAGTGAAGTGATAACCTGTTCTCATGGGGTGACCAGTGACCATGGAGCCTCCTTCTCCAAGGTGCTGTCTGTTCTCTGTTGAATCTCTTTTCTGGTAGTCCTTGGAGGTCAATGCTACAGGGCCCTAATATTTATTCTTGCAAAGTCTTAAATAATACTCTTATATATTACTTGTTCACTCTTCCTAACACAGCATAGCCTGCTAACTTCCTCCTGCAGGTCCCCCACCTGCTGCCTGAATGACTCCACCACAGCCCACCTGGAGCAGGTGGAACCTCCCTCCTCCACCCAGGAGGCCAGGTTGCAGTCTTAGCATCCCTCCACTTGGACAGCAGCTTCCCTGATAGGAACCTCTGTCTGGGTGGCTGCCTCTACTCTTCCCAAGCTGGCCTGGCTGGGTAGCTGATTTCGGTCTGCTGGAGAGCGCAGCATTTGCCTGGTCTCTACCACCATGAGGTAGAGAAAAAACTAAAAGCACTGCCTAATAAACCCTCCTAATTCTCTGGAGGCCTCGAGATGTTTGGTAGGCTTGCACAGCCACCAGCTAGCATGGGTGACCATTGGGACTGCAGCCAAAGCCTGAAGGTGAACAGAGCAGGCAGCAGTCCAACAACTGGCAGAGTGCAAAACCCATCCTGTGTGAACTGTTGGACAAGTTGCTGGTGCCACTCCCAACAGATGCCATGTCCTGTTGCTGATGCTACACCCAACAGATGCCACATCCTGTTGCTGATGGTGCTCCCAACAGATGCTGTGCCCTGTTTGCACTCCTGGTTGGGCACTCCCCAGGAGCTGGTTATATGTGGCTTCCCACAGTTTGACCTGGCCATGGGGACAGCTGGCATCACCCAGCTGTTGGACATTCCTCTCATGAGACCTGACTCCTGCCAGCCGGTCCCTCCACGCACACAGCCCAAGGGTGTCGGATCCCCAGAAACCCCCTCAGTCACCTCCCCCCTGGTACCTTGCAAGCCTCACACTCTTCTCAGCACATGGCAACTGCTGTTGCTGGGCTAGCATCAGCTTCCCACATTTGTTGGTTTTTTTCTGATTCACCTGTTTCGATCTGCAAATTGAAATTCCCCTGCCTTTGTTTATCAGACTGAATACCTGAGACAATTGTTTTCTGAATTAATGGAAAATGATTCCTTCCTCAAGTCTGCCTTAAGAGGAATATATACAGTTCATCCATTGTCTCCTCCACTAACATACATCTATTGTGCAGTCCAACAGGAGAAAACTTCTAAAATCACCTTCTTGTATTCTTTTCAAGGATGTTGAGACCATTTATTTCTACCAGTTTTAGTGCAGTAGGTGTTCTATGCTTGTTCACGTACAGCATGCAATAGCTGGTCTTTAGTAAAAAAAGGTCTGTATCTCTTTGATCCAAGTGATTCCTTCTCTGATAACCATAACAATCTCTTCAAGTTCATTAAACAATCTTCTAGGTCATTTTTGCTTATTGGATTTGTCAAAGTGATTGTTAAAGGACTCAGAGGTAAATATTAAAACGTTATTCATGACTCAGGCATGTGTAGCTCAGAAGATGAATTCTGGATCATGCCTTGCTGGAATTAGTGGGTGCATTCATAATTTACTAGCTGTCATTACTGGATATCCACCTCTACCACCTACGACTGGTTTCATCTATTACCTTGCATGAGTGCTGAAAGAATAGCCAGAAGGTCTTGTCTAGAACTAATATGGAGATAAGCACCTCCCAAGGTAACGTGCACAGTGTATCAGATTTCCTGTAACTCCTTGAAGGGAATGGGGGTGTTCTTAGCCAAACTAACACAACCAGATTAATTAAAACCATTTTATGTCTCAAGACATTAGGGAATGACTTGTGCTTCCACTAAATTACTTAGGGTAAGAAAGGGTTCAGTTATTACATTGTTACAGATGCAAACACTATTTTATTTTTTACAGAAGTAATATACCTCCATACTTTATCTAATCTATACCTAGCTATACTCTAATCAACACAGAAATTTAGAGGTCCTAGAAGGAGAATGTAAGTTTTCCAGCTGGACTTTTTCTCCCTGTAGTTACTGTTGATACAGTTGAATCACTTATTTAGCATTTTGGCATACGCTGATCCATTTTGACAATTGTAGGAAAATTGAGCAATGACTATTAAAGACAAGAACACCTTTGATACAGCAGCTTATTGGAGACTGGAAAAATATATTCAGAAAATACGTCTACATATTTCCTTGTTTTTATGTTATTTCATTCAGAAATATGCTACAAGCTACTGTCAGGAATGGGTAATAGACTGAGTAAATGTTGGTCTGAGCTAGTATGATCTTAATATAAGTCCTTACTATCTTATGTATATATGTACACACATGCACACCTAGCACGATTGCCAGGAAAGTGGTGATGAATGAAAAGTAGAGAAGTTATAGAATTATTTGCTTCCTTTCTAATTGGACTTCTGACCACGGATGTTTTATTGCTGGTGATTTACTGTGGGCGCCCATGAATAAAGCTCAAGGGAAAGGAGGCTGTCATAGATGTGTAAGAATCCAAGAGCTCTCATCTGCTTAGAGGTGGTCTGAAAGCAGGAGGCAAAGTTTTCAGCAGACATGTATCCATTAATGGCAGGTGAGAGACAAGCTGTCTTTGTGGACACGTTATTTCATTACTGTCTGGTACCTTTTGGTTGCTGCTTTCTTTGACTCCTTGGTATGTATTTGGTACTGGCCATTGATGAAAATCGTATTTTTTCCAAGAAGCTAGCTAAAGAACCATGTTGGAGTTAGCGTTGAATGAGTCTTCTATGCACCTCCAGGTCAATCCTAAGTTATCTGAAGTCAGAGACACAGAACCCAGGCTGTTATTCTCACTGCATGCCTGGACCTCTTTCAGACATGAAGAAGTTACTTCAGATTTTGCTCAAGTGAGGAGTTTAATAAGTCTTAAATTTTTTTCTGTGAAATTGTGGGTTTTTTTCTAAACTTGATAATTTGTCAGCATGTCCTCGAGCGGCTAAGTACATAAAAAATGACCTTTTGAAGTTTCTCCCTAAAGGTGCAATCAGAAATAAAGAGAAAATGGAGGAGCTGGAAAGTCAACCGGTATTTTGCTGTGGATTTCAAACATCGTCATCCTTCTCTAGCGAGCAGCGGAGTGAACGGGGGGACACAACTCTCCATTCTGAGCAAGAGCAGCTCTCAGATTCGGATGTCCAGCATAAATGCGGAGAACCTAGCGACATGAGCAGCTAAGGAAAACAAATCAATCAACAAGCAAACCAAAAACCATCCCTTTAAAAAGAAAAAAAACAAAACAAAACATAGTTTTGGTGATGGTGTAGGTCTCTCCCTTCCCTTCCCTTCCCTTCCCTTCCCTTCCCTTCCCTTCCCTTCCCTTCCCTTCCCTTCCCTTCCCTTCCCTTTCTCTTCTCTTCTCTTCTCTTCTCTTCTCTTCTCTTCTCTTCTCTTCTCTTCTCTTCTCTTCTCTTCTCTTCCCTTCCCTTCCCTTCTCTTCCCTTCCCTTCCCTTCCCTCTCCTTCCCCTCTCCTTCCCCTCTCCTTCCCCTCTCCTTCCCCCTTTCCTTCCCCCTTTCCTTCCCCTCTCCTTCCCAACATTTCCTTGATGTTTGTAGAGGTGAAAAAGCAAAGGAAATGTGTATATATATATATCTTTTTAACAATCACTGTAAATACCCAACTGTAGTCAAGGCCATTAATGGAAAAAATGTTTAAAAGATAAACAACAGGCCAAGCCCACCCACTCAATGATTTACATTTCAGAGCATCTGCAAGTAATCCGTTGTCTGTCAAAAGTAACAAGTGATTGCTGTGCAGTTGTGCTCCTTGGTTGCCAAACTGATACTAATCTGTAAATGGACATGACCATTGTTATTTTTCAATTTGATTAACATTTTCATTTGGATTTGCCTTTTTTTTGCTTTTTCCTAGTCAAACACATTTTAGCCTGTCCCTGTCTTGGCATGTGAATTTCTGCAGTGTTTCTCTTTTGAGTCTTAGGATGGAGCTAATAAGCTTGGGTTAATCAAACCAGCTGATTCAGGAGGAACTCCAGAAAATTAGATTCATGGGTGGATTTAGTCAGATGTTACCAGTGGACTTAAAGAAACTGCTGTGCCAATGTGAAGCTGCATAGCTACCATCAATCAGTGGGGGGACTCCAGGCAAGAGAGATGGGATCAGCTGTCTTTTTCCGTACCCAGGGACACTTCTGTGAATGCTTTATGTTCTAGCTAAGCTGTGAATTTTCTAAAAGGGCCATGCAGTTGAGATATATCTATTTTTTTGGCATTGACTGATTGATTGGTAGATTGATTGATTGGATTCTTTGAATAATAAAAAAAACTGTCGCCTTCCTCCCACCTTAAAAGCAAAAGTCAATTCCACGATGGCCTTTTCCTCCAGATAACCTTGAACACTCTGTATCCGTGTCCAAACATGGTATGGTTTTGGGTAGTGCTGTCACACAGACCGTGGTGCCTTTGCAACCTGGTTGACTTCTGTGTGTTGACTCTTCCCTGCCAGAGCAAGAGGCACAAGAGGGATCTGGCGTGATCATCTTGGAAGGTAAAAGTCATCTGCATTTGGTGAGCAACTAAACTGAACAATAAGATGGTATGGAAGGAAAAGATAAAGACTTTGGATGACTTCCCACACCTGGCAGTTTTCTCTCTCTTTGGATATTCTGTTTGTTTAACCACCAATGGTCTTACTGCTTTTCTTTGAGAGGAACTAAAATGTTCTTTCAACCTTTGCCTTGTAGTTAAAGCCACAACTGGTACATACCTACTTCAATCAAATGTCGATGATGTCAATTCTTAAAAGTCTTTATACAGTGCATAAAGGCTTTGAGGACTGTCCTAGCACTCACTTCATTTTGGATTTATGAACTGAGATAGATATATATATATATAAAAAATATATATA